CTCTGCTAATAGATATATTATTAGAATACAAATTTGGTTCTCATATTTTAAATTTGATATTGAAGGAAAATCTAATTTTCTTCCTGATTATCTTAGCAGGGATGGAGTTAGAACAACTAAGGACGAAAGTCCAAATACTTGAAATAAAAGTTTCCTATTTGGAAACCCAAATTCAAAATATCCAAGATAGCCTTCGAGGCAACAATATAGCCCTTGAGGCAGAAATTACTTGTACCAAGACTAGTATCCCTTCGCAGGGATTTGTGAATACTAGTGCTCTCCCCGAGAATAAAAGGAAAGAAAAGAAGGTAATAGGAACCCCTTTACAGGGAATACTCAAATCTATTACTGGTAATAAAGATATTCAAGATATCAAAAGAGAAGGTAACTCTTCACAGAGCCAAACTCAATCTAAACTTTCTATTGAAATGATAGATCCAAGAGATATTGTCAAAATATGCCACGAAGCAAAAATTCCCAAAAAAGATAATCATGAAGAAGTAACATTCTTTATTGTTATTTTTAATATTCTTTCAGATTGGTATTTGGAGATTGAAAAATGGATGAAGACTCTCCACTACTCAAAATACAATAAGATAAATTTTTATCCAGGAGCACCAGCCAACTAGGTTCAAAATTGCTTTGAAATAGGAAATATACTTTGTATATATCCTAGCAAAGATCTTAAAGAGATAGCTCAACTTCCAGCCAACATTAGGAAAACTGTTAAAAGATATACTGAAGTTGTCAAGACAACAAATATATATATAAGATTCCATTCAGCAACCATGGAGTGGGATCCTATTCTTGAATATATGCATCCATCGTTCCATGTGATCAAAATGGGAATTACAAATCAACATTTTTTACCAATCAATCAAAAGGTCATTAAAAATGGATATCAAGATATTTTAAATATGATGCCCTACAGACGAGCAAAAGGGTATAAAGAGATATTTGAACATGTAACTCAGATAATTACTGAGAAAGAAAAAATATGGATTTATCCATCTGAAGATCATATTATCTATTCCAATGCAAGGATGGATACTAAAGAAGAAGATATTTGTTATCTCGATCATTTATTATCTGCAATCATATCCAACCAAGTGCATGGATCAGAGGACATGGCTAAATGATTATGCAAATTACTTTGGAATTACAGTGATCACCATTGTGAATACTGTGTAGTTAAAGATATAAGTCAAGCATCCCTTAATGATGAAGAATTCCCTGCAGAATTCTTTGATTCAAAAATGGAAAAGTGATGGTGACTAAAGTAGCCCTTTATCACTACTTTAATAAAGAAATTTATTAAAGAAAAACTGTGGCTACTAGAAGACAGAAGGTAGTACAAGAAAAGTCTCCATAATTGTAACTATTCCTCACCAATTTTCACAAGTGGCAGACAAACTCAAAAGATAAGGTAAAAAATTTCAAGAGAAGAGGTCCACCCAACAAGAAGACAATGAAGAATTCGGTGGAGATAAGATGGCTTAGCTATCCAACAAAGAAAGGTGGAAAACACCTGTCCAAGATAAGATTCCAAAATCTCCTATAAAAAGGGGCAGGAAGGAAGAAGAAAGGCATCTCGAAATAGCTTATCTCTTAAACATATCTGAGAGAAATCTTTTGTAATCTGTATACACCACTTGTATTCAGAAAAAAATATTAGATAGCTTGAAGATAGGAAAGCGTGTAATAAGGTAATTACTTATGGAGTTCTAAACTTCATAAGGCGAGTACCAAAGGTATGTAAATATAGTTTGTAAGCATGTACAATTTCAATTTATGAATATCAAAGTAAAGTTTATTATGTTCAACAAAGCTTACATAAAAGGATTTCGTTAAGTTTTTCATGATTCATCGGCAATACAGATAGAGATTTTAAAAGATTTTCAAAACATTGATTTTGAATGGATGTTAGCCATGTCAAAGTACCCATATTTGATTAATGGTTTAGGGGAAAAGGGCAATTTTCTAACAAAATTGTAGCACCTTGTGTGTGAGTTATCTTTTAAAGTTTCGTTCTAAGTAGGAACTTGGTTTTGAAAAGAGTTTGGATAGAGGTGAAAACAGAGACTCTGGATACTGTGAGATAGCGTCTGTGGAAACACGACTAGTTCTTTAGAATGAAGAAATGCAACCTTAATTGAAAAGCCTTTTGCGGAAGCAGTTGTGGACCCAAATGATTTTAAAACATTTTAAAAATTTACTTGATTCAGAAGATTGATTAAGTACATGCAAAGCATCTATAAGAGCATACTGGAGGGAAAGCCTGTTTATTTCCACTTGATTACTGTAAGTTATTTACTTATTTTTTATATGCTCATGCTTTAATTATTTTGATGAATAATTCACATGCATCTACTTCCACTACTAATAATGATAATAATCTTATTTTAATTTTAGATGAAAAATATATTTTGTTCTTACTTAAATTAGATGAAAAATCTGATAATATATTTCCTGTTGGAAAAGAAAAAATTGAAGAAATATATAGAGATATAGATTATAATTGTAGAAATAATATAGGATTTGATTCTGTAAGAACAAGTAGAGAAATAAGAAAGGTAGAAGATATCATAACTAAACATAGAAATATACAAGAAGAAATTTCAGAAGGATTATTTAAAGGATGTATAACCAAGAAATGTCAACTTATAATCTTTGAAGAACTATTAAAATATAAAGAATATTTAAAGGTGCTTAAAAGATTGAAAAATATAGATATAGGTCCTGATTGATAAATCCTTAAAGATATAAGATAGATCTTGCAAATAATTTCATTAAGGGTAAAGTAGTACTTTCAATAGGAAAGGCTATTGTGGAAAATAGGCTCAATAATTCAGCTAATATAAAAACTACCCCATCTACTATTCCAATTCCCTGTCCACTTTAAAATTTTATATTTTTTTATTGGGCTTCCATCAAATAGAATTTTCAATCGCATAATCAACGATAAATTCAATTACTATTATTTATTTAAGACTTTGATAAGTAACTACTACATTTATATTTTGAATCTTTAAACTGTTTCTTCCATCATTAATATACATAAATAATTTAATCAGTATTAAGCAAAAATGTCATCCTGTGCACAGATTCTCTTATTTTCAAAATTTTCCAATACATGAAACCACGATTTCATTGTAAATGCAATTTTATCTGAAGGATTTTGCATTTATTTGCAGGCTTCTTGCAGACTGCAGAGAATTAAACAATCAAGGAGATCAGCATTAATGCATTTTCTGGATTTTGTAGATTTTGTTGACAATGTAATTTTGTGTTCGTCACGTTAAAAGACATTTTAATTGCTTGAATTTCATTTATGTAATGAATTGTCTTCCTATGTTAATCGAATTAGTACTTCAAATAGTTTTTGTGATTTTTGTCGTATAAAAAGCTTGTTAGTTCATTTATTGCAAATATTACTATGTTAAAAAAATTTGGTAAGGAGGTGTTTGGGAGTGATTTTTCACCCTAAAAAATTGATTTTTTGACCGTTATTTCATTATTTCAATCGTAATTTTTTATTTCTTCTCTTACAGGTGACCCCTACTTTTCTCCTAACAGTAAAAAAATCAATTCTCAAAATCCATTATCAAACAGACAATTTACCTTGTCTTAATTGACTATAATTTTCATAGTTAAGATTAACATTTCAAAGATCGGTACATCCCTCCTATCTACTCCCCCTTCAAGAAAAAGAAGAAGAAAAACACTGGACATTTTGTGAGCAAATTTCAAACATAATATTTATGTTAGTGAGTAACGTACAACATTTTTCAAAATTCAATATTTATACTATTAACCTGCTAGTGACTAACTGCTTGCTCATAACCCGCATTATGCTCATAGAACGCTTTCCGCAGCCTCCCGAACACGAACTCCCCACCAAAATGAAGAAATATTTTAGGGGCTTGTAACTCGTTGATGTTCCCAAATTAATCTCTGGCTTTGATATAACTTGATTAGTTTTGAGGTATAATTTTCATGTCTATACGCAATGGACTAATCCCTGGTATCTGGATAACTAAATTGAACTTAAAAAAATGATTAGATTTTTATCTTGCTGTCGTGTCATTTGTGTATTCGGTTTGCCGAAAATTTTCCTTGAAACATGGTACTAAGCATAATGCAATTTGGGTGATTTCTACATTTGTAATGTGGTAGCATTTGCTGGTCGAAAATACGCTGCAAGGTCCATTCCTGCTTTTGTTACGAACAGAACATACACTGTCACACAGTTTTACGTCGGTAGTCATTACTATATTATTTCAATTAATATAAACTCATTTTTTTTATGTAAATGGACCATCTTCATCTTTATGCAGATTCTTGAAATTAAAAAGGGAAGACCGCAGAACTTGTACTAGAAAAGAGATGGCTGCAGTTCTTGTTCAGGTAAATCTAACTTTAGTTTGCCTCAACAATCAAGTTTGAGCAATCAGAACTAAGAACTGTAAAAACCGATGGGGTTCTGTAGATTGTAACCTTGGAATACAACTTGCATTTTCTGGAACGGATAAGCATCATGCAGTGTTCAACTCTTGGTATGAAGTTAAAAACCTTCGACAGTATTCCCTTTACGGCTTTTGTTCAAATCTCAGGGAGACTGTCACTAGTCAATACAATAAAGTTCTTCTAGTGTTGTTTGAGACCATCTTTACATTTCTTTGTGTCGTTATTTACCTGTTTAAGCACGTTATCTCAAGCTCTACACTTTCAATTCATATCTTTGAAATTCCAGCTGGTTGAGTATAATTGTATTCCTTTACCATTGGGAGTGACAATGTCATGAGATAGAGCAGTTCGGATTCCATTCAGCATTTGGTACACTGAAATGGCCTGTAAGCTTTATATATCCTTCAATGATTGAAATTCATTCAACTGTGAAGCATATATAAAACTTTATCCAAAATGGTTACCAACTTAATAGAAGCAATTTATTCAACTAGATTCCAAATGTAATGCCAAGTCAGTAGAAGCAATCCAAATCAAATAACGCAATTCCAAGAATAATTTATATAAAAAGTTGCATCAAGCTGTTTAGCAGATGTTATGACTTTCATCTGTACTCAAAATGAGAAGCTTTACATAAAAACTTTCACGACTTAAGTGCACAAGCACTATTCGGTGCAACAACCCCTACTCTGTTTCAAACTGATCAAGCTTGACGGCCATAGAAGGGAGCACATCAAAACTGGATTGACAAGTATCACTTAGATTAGACAATCAAAATACAAAAGGCAAATCAGACGAAATACAGTGAGATGAATGCCCCGTGTGTTCCAGCTTGCAATTACAGTAAATAATGGTATTTCAAACCGGTGATATGGAAGCTTTGTACGACCCACCACTGTACTTTAATCCCTTCAAAAAGGCAGAACGCATTTGAGAAGAAAGAGTGGCGTTTGGAATACCAAAAGAATTGCCACTTTCTTGCAATAATTTGCCTGCAGCTTGCTGATTGGGTTGTTCTCTGGCAATGCCCAGACCAATGTTCAAACCAATTGATGAGGATTCCGTTATAAAGCTGCAAATCACTTAAATAGATAAGAAACTAATCAAGTAACTTTTAAGTAGCAAAAAAATAGTGCAGGTCCATGTTTGATGTGAAGGATAATCTTTCACGAGACTGAAAAGGAGAAACTTATATCACATTCGGCCATTGTATTGATTGGTAGAATCAAATTGTATTGCCAAACCATGAACCAAATTAAAGCAGCTGTCTGATCAGTTCAGAAAATAAAAGTTTGGGTGTGTTTGGGGAAAGTTCTTAAAATGAAAAAGTTCGTACAGCAGATGGGCTTCAAGGGAATGAATTTCTGAAATGGACTTCCAGAAAACACAGAATGTTTGCAAACCGGTACTGCAAGAACTCTCAAGGAGAAAATCAGAGTCGGCTTAACCCTAAACAGTCGGTTAAACATGCAAAATTTAATTCCAGAAGTGACTGGTCATTTGCCTAATTGATTATGTTAACCTTTCCACTTCTATTTCTCAAGTAATAAAAAACGTGAGATTTGGATAAGGAACGAAGATGGGCTGGAGCAGACTAAAAGATTCTGAAGAGACCACATGATTCCACAAAATGCAACATTCTACACGGTTAACACAACTCAAGTTTCAGCAACAATGAAGAAAATGCAACAAGTCTTTAGCCCTTATTTGCCTCGTTTATAATCTGTTTATAATAGGTCTAATGTGTGGGACCCACAAATACTAAACAATTATCCATCACTCATTTCTATTTATTATACTGTACACTGATTATAAGCAACTCCCAAACATGCTTTAGTTAACACAGCTTAAGCGTCAGCTACAATCAGAATTTGGCATACCTAGCTTCAAAGTCAGTCCCATTGGACTGCATAGCATTGCATACGCCAGAAATTAACCATGGGGGAAGATAGACATCCTTAATTTCAACACTGTAACAGATACCCGCAGATGAATCTCGATTAGGTTCACCACCAATACTAGTCCCCTTTAGCTGGGATGAAATATGATCAGCTCTCCTCACCTCTTTGCATCTAACCTGCATAATCAAGTGACCCAAAATTAATGATCTCGAGTAAATCTCGCAAAACCAATTGTCCCTTAGCAGCTTGTTGAAAGGCTGATGTAGCAAGGAATCCATATGTTCAATATTGAAAGTAGAACTGGATGGAAGGGTTTGATATGAAAACACGTTTCTAAAATGTAAGATGTTGATTACAAGGAAGGAACATTGCCATTTTTGAATAAGGTTAATTTTCTGCAACCTTTTTTGTACCTTTGGCAATTTTATATATGGTTTATAAAGAGGAATAGTAGGGGATTCCATGAAATCTGTGGATTATGAGTAGTAACCATGAAGTGTGATTGACTTTGACTGAATTTATAAACCATTTACAAATTTGTATCCAAACAGAGGCTTGCTCACAAAAATTAAAGGTAGGAAAAGCCACAGGAAAGAGAAATTGATTAGTCAATAAATTTTCCTGCAAAATTGCAGAGTTTAACCCATCACAGAATCACTACATAAATTTGTAATATGCTGGGGTCTATGGATCTCTGGAAACTTTGTATATACTTTGAACGCATTTAAGAAAACAGTTTGTTCAATTGGATTGACATCGACAACTACGTAATGCAACAACAAGAACAAGCTAAACCTTATTTTGAATAAATTTTGGACCAACAACACTAATTTATTTTCACCATTCCATCTGATCCAACACTTGAATGTATTGAAAGGTCTAACAAAAATGAAATGCCTAACAAAAACATCGAACCACGTTAGTTTGTTCTCTCTCCTTGTAACTTTCTGTTGGGTTCATATTATTCTAGTGAAAATGAGCTTGTTTAGGTCTACATAGGACATGCCCTAACCATTTAACCCGTCATTGCTTTAATTTATCCTCTAGTTGTTGGTTTATGTCCTTGTTTCTTATTTTATTCATTTAGCATGGTCAAATCAAACATCCATATCAACATCTACATTTAACCTAACTTTATCATGGGGACCTTTTGCCTTTTAACAATTTAACAGCCCAACAATCTTATTCCATAGTTGGTCTTCTAACTATTGTGCAGAACTTCTTGTACTTCTTTTCTATTTAGTCTAACTCTCTCTAATTATCTGTGTTAGTACTTATAAATAATGCCCTTTTATGCAAATTTTTTGAGAAAAGATTTAGTGAAAGATTATTTTATTGGGAGAAAGTGTGGTTAAAAAGTGGAAAAACTTATGGATCCAAGTGAAAAATTATTTTCCAAGGAGAATGTTGTTGAAAAAAAATAAATAAATAAATAAATTGAGTTTCGAAGTATATGTACCAAACAAGGGCTAAGTATCTAAATCAATTACTCTTTCAAACAACGAGGTTCCCAACTGTGATTCCACTATCGTCCCTATTCTTAACCGTACTATGACTAAAAGGATATTCTATACATTCTCTTACTTATAATACGACCCCAATATCATTAGTAACATAATTGTAAACACAAACTACACATTGACATTTGGTGATACAAATTAAAATGGTGTCAAGCCGCAGGGTACACAAGAAAGAAACAGGAAAGAAGGAAAATTTGCAATCATTACTTTACCAACACCACATACTAACTAGACTCACCTCTGGAGCACAGAGAGCGGCATTCTGAAAAGGTACTGGCGAATACAACACAGGAACATCCACACCAGTCAAAGAGGCCAAAAAGGATCTGGAAACAAACCATAGAAGTAAATTGAGCTATGACAACATTACATAAAACCATATATACAAACTTCACCCACATTTCCTCCCTTGACGAAGAAAGTAAAAGAATAAACTTATTTAATCAGACACTCACCTATAATTTAGTAGAAAATCATACAATCCATGTACAATCCTATTCCCAGTAAACATCAACAACGATTCTGGGCTGTTATCAACACCGGTCAGGGTCTCCAGGGGTCGAGCCTGCATCACTCAGTTGAGCACAAGTTAATGGAAGCTCACAAAAGGACTCACTAAGTACCCGCAGATTAATTTTTCTCAATTCACCAAAGCCTTATCCCATTAATAACTTCAAAAAACATAAATTAGAGAGAAAAAAGGGGGGGAGTTTGCATGGACATATATTCTCTGAAAGCATTATTACGCAATATTAGTGTATAATTTATATTTGCCAACTTCAGAAATGGGACAGAAGGTGTTGTGAAACGTGCAAAACACAACCATTTTTGCATGTCTCTCAACAAATATGGAATCTGAGATGACTTCATATTACGAACTCCATATCATTTGATTACCAAGCAATCATTACAAATTTGTCATAGGCTTTATAGTTTATCCTAGACCTAAACTCATGTATTCCAATAGACAGCGAAAAAGAAATGATGTGGACACATTCCAAACCTCTCCAAGATTGTATTTTTCAATTTCCGAGAGTTCAACCAAGTCTTCTGCAGTAATTTCCTCCACTTTGGATTTGCAAAGCGGCATAGAAAAAGAAACATCCTGCAATCAAGTTTAAATTTAACAGAACAAATTTAGGCTGTAGATCAACATCCCAAATATTATTGTAGAAATGAAAGCTTCAAAATTATTAAAATGCAAAATTATATCAACATCCCAAATAATATTGTAGAAATGAAAGCTTCAAAATTATTAAAATGCAAAATTATATCGCTACTGAGACTGAGTGTAAAGCACTAATTATTCAATGTCAAATTTAGTTTGTAGTCATTCAAATTAGTCCTTTTTCCGGAAGAAAATAAATCTTACCTGTTCTTTCAGCAATGACCTTAAATATCTTGTTGAGCGAGATATGTAGGCACAGCAGGAGCGTTTAGTATCCTCTGGACCATTACGCCCAGTGAACATGACTACAAACTGTGCAGTACAAACTGTTCCAAAAATTATCAAATGACTTTCTAGTTGTAATGAGAATTGGAAAAAAATGATAAGATAATCTACATGTATTAAACTTAGAACAGAAATATCACAAGCTTCAAAACATAATATGTCATGGACATTGCTTTCTAACATTATCAGGAAGTTGTCATTTCTATTCATTATGATAATAAACATTAGAAGACATGTCTTTAGAGTGAGAACAATTTGTTAGGATCAGGTTTCAACCCTCTCATCTGAAAATCAATGGTTGACACTCCATCCTAAGTCCTAACTAATTGTATCAAAGGTTAAGGTCATGGTTTGAGTCATAAGAGCATCATGTTGAGAGAGGGATTGTTGGGGAGCAACAAGGCTACTCTTAAATCCATGGATTGGCTTGCTCAAATGATGTTGGTTTAGTTGCCTTCACTTGACAATAATTGGTTTTCGAATGCGATGGATGAAACCCGATCTAAACACAATCAACTGTATAATCGTCCTAAGCTCTAGCAATCTTTACCTTGAGTTAAGGCAAGTTATTATAATTTTACCTGCCTCATCATATCGTCTTTTTTCTGCAACAACATTAGTGTCGCTAAGGAGGACACCCATCTTCCATGACGGGTGGTAATCTTAATTTTTAGAGCTTAGAACAGGATCCGTGAAGCTAAAGAACAACCTAAGCCTTAATCCGATGATGTGTGAAGATAATTGAAAAAAATAATAATAATAAAAGCTAAGCCCTAATCTGACAAAATATAATTTATCTTCCATACCATCCATTAAAGTTTTAGAAATCAAATCTTTTGCAATCAATCGAGGCCATAGTACTTTGTCCTTGTTTCAGTGCTCTAGTATATTTACAACTAGTCAATCAATAATTCTTGAATAAACCAACGTTGCATCAAAGATGCATATATCAATTCACTAGAGAGTTCACGTTGACGGCACACAAGCATGGTAATTATGAGAAAGGCATCTTTGATGACATGTAGATGGAGGCACTTTCCTTCGATATAGAAATAATAAATTGGTCTGATGTTCTTGAATTTCTCACATCTTCTTGAATGATTCAAATAATTCTTTCCTATCATATGGGATAGATATATACATATAAATGCATTGTTTTGTGAATACCAGCTTCCTTAGGTCTACCCGGGACATGCCCAACCATTTCAGTTGTCCTCCCCTTAACTGCAAGTTAATAAAGAACATTTGAAGCTGAATTATCCTCGCAATAAGCTACAATATTAATCAGCTCACTGATTACTTCACTTATGATTGTAATTTCCCTATCAAAGAACACCGAAGTCCAACTCTATGTTCATCCAGAAACTCATGGTGCATGGACTTTCATCAAGGATAATCTAAAGAGATTGAGGCGCCAATGATTCAGATGGAAAGGTGCATTAGGAGTGTTCTTCAGAAGTGGTCAAATGGACCTAGAAATCATTGGGATAAAAGAAAGCTTGGCAGAAGCTCTGACACACTAAGAATAGAAAGAAGTGTATCGCAACTTCCCCCTAAAGAGATGGGAGGCTAGGCTATGATAAACATCCTCAGGTAAAAGATACGAAGAAGGAAAACTGTACATTTCAGAGTTTGGCCATTGATGGTTCATGAAGAAAATGTAAACAAATAGAATGATATTTCCAATTCCAAATACTTGGAAGAAATGTATTTGGAAGAAATGTCGCCAAATATTACCAGTCCAAGAGTCCAAGTCAATTATTGAAACACTAACAATAAGAATTCAAGTCAAATAAAACATTTACCCAGTAAATAAGGGCTACAAGGACCATATTTTGGCAGAGAGAAAACGAATATTTGTTTTACAGATTTTATTACAAATAATATTGCAAAAGCATAAGGTCTTTACCATAAAAGATGTGACAAATCTTCTTCCGAAGCATGTAGTAAAGACTTCGAAATGAATCCTCCCACGCTTGTTGCCGTTTACTCAAGAAATCCCCTTGCCCTTAATACGTAGACTTATTAATGATAAAAGGAAGAATAAGAAAGGAGAAGAAAAGTTAAAAAGATTCTAGTACACTGGTCTCAACTGCAATACCTCCAGCCCCAGATATCGTCAATGCTGATATAACTGAATTTGGTAGAGTAGATTGTGGGTGCACCCATGAATGTAAACTCCCTAGGTGTTTTACTTGACTGGTCGAATTAGGCTCTGAAGAGTATGGCATACTATACCCTGAAGAACAGCCAGTATACATAAATGGAGCCATACCACCGAAGCTCCCATGGCTGACTAACCTATGGAACCTATAGAGGCACAAAGAAGATATTAGATGAGCATGAGCTCATGAGCATGCATGTAATGGAACAGACAACTATGAGCATTTCAGTGTATAAAAAAAAAAGAAGTGTAATTATTGTATTTTCATGGATTATATGCAAGCAAAAAAGAGTGGGGCATAGATTGGGATTATAGAGAAATAAGTATGACAGTGCAGTCATCGCAAGGTTTTATTCCAGTTAGTAACAAGAGATTCAAGAAAAAATATGTGCCATTGGCATGAGACTTTGGTACAATGGTAAAAGAAATTGATGCTTTACTCTTGAAACTAGTTAGATGACAAGAAATTTTCTATAGTCAATTATATAGCCCAAAAATGGCAAGAAAGAACCTTGATGTTTATGCTAGATATCAATTACACATTGAAGAAATAATTGACTATTCATTGATCAAATCATGAACTTCATAGTCTGATAGATTTTTTAAAGAACTAGTGTGGTGTCTCTGACCATAACCAGTAAAAGCGATAAAGGTTAATAAGATATATAGATTGAAGTCTGGATGTTTATCGTACTTCTTTATTCCACATCAATGAAAAAACCAAACATTCATAAACATTCATCGATCAAATAATTTGCTTCATGGTCTCCTAGATCTATCAAAGAACTGCAAGATGTAGAGATAAAGTATGTATGTAAACATCATCTAATTGAGACTAAAATATTGAGCAAAGTTTTCAACTACTGGACCTAAGTTAATGAGAGAATCATGGGCATGCATGGAAGGAACAAATGCTGGCAAGTCAACATCTTTACAATGCTTACAGCATCTTCTCAGTTAGACTAGTCATGCATGATTTATATCAGTAAGAACATGCATGAAAACAATAGCTCATCAAACACGTGGACCATAAAATGTATTCCAGATTGCTGCATGGACAATGAAGCACCATAATAAATAAGTTCAAACACTGTACGGACAAAGTTAACTTAAGAAAATCAAGAAGTGCAGTGAGCCCACCAATTCACTGAAGATGAAGACAAAACCCGTATGGTAGTTTTCAAGGTCAAATCCAGCGGAGTCTTCTGGCCAGCAACATGAAATTCTGAAGAAGAGTTTTGTGGCATAATACCTCCAGTTATATCAGTAGACTCGTTGAGTGGAACTGAAGCAGTAAGAGATTCACATGAAACCAGTCCTTTTAAAGCTTTATCCTACAGATGAAGAAGAGTTTTTCACATTCTAAACATAAATATACACCATAGCTGACAAAGACTAAAATGGCAAAAAGAATACCATGTCAACTAGTGTCAGGCCATTTAAATTTTCACCACCCTGTGACAGCTGTGTGACACTCCTGAAGGTACTGTTGCTACATTTTCCAGTCATGTCAGTTTGATTTGTGCAGTATTTGTCGCTTCTTGAGGCAAAAGTATCGTCCACACTTCAAGGATATGAAGGAAATTACATAATTCAATCAGCAGCGTGAATACACAGAAAAATATGAACAGAGTAAACTTTCTAAATTCTACCACAGATTTGGATGTTGCGGCTTGGCATCCATATTCATAATTACAGGGGGATTCTTCAGGCTGCCAATATGCTCAACTGGGACATTTTCCTGCAAGTGGCTCATTACATAACACAAGTACTGATAAGAAATGATAAAGATAGAATTTTTTAGTCCCAGTTTGAGACACTATGTGGTAAATGAAACTGTAAAATAATGTAGTAAGTAGCCTCGCTAAATAGATCTAAAAGAAAACTCAGCCAACCTTAACATTTTCCTTTTTGGAAAGCATCCGAAGCCTAATACTGTTTTTTCGGACAGGAAATAAAGCATCCACACGTGTATCAATGTATCGTGGTGCTTTCGATGAATCAGATTTTTTAGGTCCAGAAGCTGCTCCATCGGTGTTCCTACGGTAAACAAGCAATTTGTCAGTTAATATAATCCAGAGAATTTGTAAGAAAAAAATTACATGACAAATTTACCTCATATAACCAGTTACAGGAGCTCGAGATTCATCTACGTTCTCAATTAAATCCCTCCGCTTCAATAGTTCTCCCTGTCAGTTGAACAAACTAAGTAAGGATCTCCGCATCTGTATTACATAGTTACTACATATGGAAATGAGTTTGTACTTTTTTCTTTTCAGCAAATGGTATCTCAAAATACTTCATCATTTCACTCCACACAATTGCATACAAGAATATAAACTATAGATTGAATGGACTGACTTCTATGATCATTTTTTTTTTATTGTAGCTCCAATTCATGTGTTGGACTTGGAGGATAGAATCATGTAAAATCAGCAACTACATATAAGACGCGAACAATATAAGCCAAACAAGAAAAACAATGCAGAACATTGCAGCAGTTAACTTTTCATTTAAGTCCTTCTCTAAGCTATTTAATATCAAATCGAAGCCCCGTTTCATGATATCTTCTCTTAGTGCATGCCACCACTAGTATTTAACCAAAATCAAAATTCTATAAGCTTCAGCAGATTAAAAATAGTAGAGAAGTTCACATTTCAAGAACTAGGGCTTAGGAAATTACCCTTAACTCTGAGGGTGTTTTTCGCTTCAAAGCAGTGGTAGTGGCAACCTTTGAGCTGCCAACCCCACCACCACCACCACCAAAATGAAGAGCATTGGACGAAGGCAATTGACCAGCAGCAGCAACTTTAGTCATTTTCACTATATTCAACCGCTCTACATAGCAAACATCAATTTCAAAATGTACATGACGAAAGAGAGACGTAAACCAGTAGAAAACGAAAATAATAATAATAATAATAATTGCATCCATAGCATCGGGAAAAATCAACCAAGTGTAATTCAATAAAAAAAAAAAATTAGGGGTTTTTATTTGACCTCAATTGTATGCGATATATATTGATTTGCACTAATCTGAGTGATTCATTTGGGGCACATCTAAGGAAGTGCTTCTGATTTTCCCTTTTTGGATTTTGGGTTGGAAGGGCCAAGAGCGGGATTTTGAGAGTGCGGTTCAATTAGAAAGGAGAAATGGCATTTGGGTTTGGTTTTGAATGGTTTTACTTCCCTCCGCTCCGCTGTGCCTAACGCCGTTAGTTTCAGACGTTAACTCCATTTTCATCTCGGGTTGGGCTTGTGGTCGGCGGGCTTCAGGTTTAATTGGATTTAATTTTAGGGAAAAAATCACATCTAACCAAGAAAAACAAAATAATTCATAAAACACTTCACACTAATTTATATGCTACAAATACTAAATTGTTATAACTAATTAAATCAAAATTACTATCACCTTAAATTTCTCTTATTTTTGTAACTGAAACATGGCAATAGGCAATAGCCATGAATTTGTATATTAATAAACAGGGGCGGACCTAAGATTATTGTTCAGTGAGGGCGAGACAAAAAAAAAGACCTAAAATAAATTGTTTAAGCATTTTTTGAATGTTTCAAGTCCAGACGAGGTTTGTGGTGCTTGGTGGGGAAGCACTTTGGAATGCCCCTAAATTTTCGCTTTTGTTTTTTCTTCCAAAGACAACATTTTTTTTTATGTTCTTTTTGTTTTATTTTTTGCCGACCTTTCGTGATTTTACAAGAACAGAAAAATAAATTGGAATACAACTATATCAATTTTATTCAATCATTTTTGAGGCATGATGGATTTGACACAAAAAAATTAAAAGAGAGAAAGAGCTAAAAACAAAACACAAAAGAATAATAAAAATGGCATTTTGAGACTTGAGCTCAAGACTTCCTACATCCAAAGCAAGAATCACACCACTAGACCAAATGGTTATTATTTGTCTTAGCTCTTTTTTGAAGGTATTTGAAATTTCAGTGGGGGCGCTCTTTTTTGAAGGTATTTGAAATTCAGTGGGGGCGACTGCCCCCACTAGTCCCTTCATGGGTCCGCCCCTGTTAATAAATGAATCCCCTGATTAATACTTTGATTGGAAAAATCATGGAAAGTTAAACTTATTAAAAATGAAAACTTGCAATGGTTTGATTTTCTACAATGTCATGGACTTCATAAGTTTTTTTTTTCTTTTTTCTTTTTTTGACTTAATATTTGTAATTCTTGATATAAAAACACATCATATGATTTTATAAATTATGAAAATTTACTCATTTTTATGCATTCATCTTCCCCGTATTTTTGGTGACAATGTAATTTACGATACCTTGATCATGATGAATGTTTCAATATATTACATTGTTTGTATATTGCCGCAATCATGAAGCATCTCTTACATAATAATTAGTGAATTTAAGCTTCACAACATATTGAAATTGATTAGTAATTCTGGTTTTTATTTTTGAGGATTTCGAATTGTATTATACTTTCTAGAAATCAATATGCAAGGTTTCCAATTTCCACTTATTTCTCATGAGAATGCGACATGATACGTCTTCCATTATCATAATGATCTTTGTGGATTATTTGATTCATTGTTCAATATTCATCTAATATTAGCAAGTATTGTGAGCATAATATTAATATTTATCCTACTACAAATTTTGTTAAATATTTATGTCTATTTAAAATTTACCAAAAATCATATTGATCCTGTCCCCATCTGTGTAAAAACGCAAAAACAAAAACAAAAACAAAAAAACACACGCACACAATGCCATTGACAATAAAGTTTTCATCCAAATCAATATTTTCGTATGTTATACACTAGGTGGTATGAAATTAACTCCTTAGAAATTAAAACAGAAATTCAGCCATCTATAGTCCAGCATCTGTAACAACTTCTTGTCAACATGTTTGATACTTTACAAACTTCTTTTCCTCTTTCATATTTGATTCAGTGGCAATGAGTCCTTACACGTCTTTCTATTATGGTTGTACTCCTTACACATTGCACATCTTGTTTCTTAGTTGCACTCTTGCTTTGATGGTATCCTTAGCTTTTTAAGCCCCCTCCATTGTCATCTAGTTAGTGTAATGTCCCATGACCGTGTTTTATATTGTTACAAAAGCCAGATAGTGCAAGCGTAATTAATCATATCATTATGTATTGCACAAAAAAGGTGATTTAACAGAATGTGTATGATAACACATTATGATGCTTAGAAAAACATATACAAGACATGTTTATTACGATATAGTTACAAAGAATGATATATATATAGAGTTTGATTTGTCCTTTGGCTAACAAACAATGAAAGAACAATGCAATGTGTATGATAACACACTATCGTGACAGTTGCCTTAACCAATTTAAATTCAATCCAATTTCAAGTAATTGTCATATTGCAACAGAAGCTTGCACAACAGAGATTACTCATTGGTGTAATATCGCACAAGAGATAAATGTCTTTTAAGAGGTCCAAATTACCCAAACTAAGCACTGAAGATCCTCAAACCTGCAAGCATTACAACTTATATATAGTTTAGATTCTTGAAATAGTTCCAAAATATAAAAAGAATGAAACTACAGACAAAATTAAGTCCCAAGAGTCCTCTTTTTATGCCTTTGCCATCTAGTGGTTTGGAGTGCATGCACGAGAGAAATAAGAGAAGTTCAACAACATTTCCATGATCAAATCAGGTAAGTTCAACTTACATTAAAGAATAAGGTTACCCAAAAAATAAATATAGGTAAAAAGGTTACATAGAACTTTTCCTTTAGGACAGGAAAAAAACAATATCCAGAATCAGACTTGAAGCCTAGAAAACAAGTATTCAACAGACTATGTGGAACCTATCCAAATCCCAAATGACATTAAGTAAGTGCATTGGCATAAGATGAAGAATTAACATAATTTGACATTCCTTAATCTCTTCGCTACTTGACATCTTTTTCAATAACAAAAACACGAATTTCATAGTTATGCGCTTAAACTCTGACATTTAATGGGAAAAATATATAAGTTCTGATATCAAAGGTCACACAAAAATTGAAAATTTCCCATGAATACTGTGCAAGACAATTTGATGTCTCCTTAAAAGAAAAAAAAATCACTTTTGGTGTGTGGAGTTTAGGCACTAGAATTGAAATACACGAAAAATTATTGAAAGTTGAAAACGACCCTATCCCAGAGCAACTGAATGCAGCCTTAGAGTTGGGAAATGCATTATTCAAAGAAGTGGGAAGCATTATGGAAAGCATATAACTTTTTGAAACATTGCTATCATAAAAGAAACTAATAAGAAAATTTTTATAAACCCACGGACTGATAACTTAATATTTTTCTGAAAGAGAACCCTAAAAGAAATAAAATACCAACTTCTCAAGTTCAGACTGTACTGTTCAAGCAATTTATCAAACATTTGGCATTCAACTGCATGCAATTTATCAATGGACCTCTTACCAGTGTCATTCATGTGGGTCTCCTTCCCCAGACATTCGGTGTTTGTGCGCACGCCTCCTGCATTTAATGGACAGTCGTCGAAATCTTTCCATTGTGACAAAACATTGATCGAGCGAGTAATGTGGCGAGGAGTGTGAATGAGTTCATTTCTTGGTTTGAGAATCTCACAAGACTTAGATGAATAGCCTACTTGTTGAGTCTTGATGGAAACCATAAACCAACGACGTTTCGGAACTGTGATAAATCCCGAATCAACACGAACTGAAATCAATTGGTTGATTTGCATAATAATACTAAGGATTGTGATATGCGTGAGACCTGTGTGAATACCAAATTGTTGTATACATTTTTGGGATTTTTTGGAGAGTGATTCTTGATCGAGTCAAAATTGAAGGGACATGAAGAAACTTCAAATTATGGATTTCGATATTAATCAACTATACTAGTTTGTTGGAGTAAATTTTAGTTATGCCTATATGCTTTAGGGCTTGTTTGAGTCACATTATTTTCAAAAAAATACAATTTTCAACAGTGATTAGATATTATTTCAACTATACATTCTTCAACTTTTAATTAGAATTTTAAATGGCGATAGATTCGAATCATTCGACGATGAAATAATTCAATTGGTTAAAAAAAATTAAAAATTATCCAAATTTTGAAAGCATTTTGTGAAAGAATTGGAATGGGGTAAAACTTTTCTAACTTGGATAGCTATTTTATAATTTCAAAACCATTTAACATAAAATAAGAAAATTGGGTCTTTTCCAATCTCTCATTTTCAATGTGATTTTAAAATGATTCTTTCATAAAGAATAATAGAAAATATTTGATGCAACAATGTGAAGTGTTGAACGCGTGACAAGCAAAATGTAAATTGAGATAAGAACATCTCCAATGGGATGTCGATTGTAAACCATGATTATAAGAAATATAATGTAGAGAGATGGTATATATAAATTATGAAAAATTAAATAGACACATCCTTCAATGAATATAATTATAAAAAAATTAAGTAGAGAATGTGCAGTAACCCCTTACAACGCCTTTCGTTGTCATGTAAGCGTTTTAAGGTGATGTAGCACACTTTTTGGTGCAATCCGCATTCCCATTGGAGATGCTCTCAACTGCCGTTCTTATTTTGGTTCATGTCTAATCATGACATCAATAATTTTCGGTAGAAACCGCTTTCTCAAAGTTTTGATCATTAGTGTCAATTAAAAGAAGAAATCTCGAGTTTCACACTTCTTTATTCTTGAATTACATCATTTTCGTAACGAAGTTTCTATTCCTACGCATATTATCAAGTGGAATCCAACCAGACGAGCACTAGCTATCGATATATTAGCTCGCCAATCCAAAACGCAGTAAGTAGAATCTATAGAATTGTGATTAATTAAAAATATTTTAAAGGCTTCCTATACTTAAATTGCACGTAATGTCCAAAATAATATCGGGAAATAATGTATGAATTGGAAAATAACTTTCAAAGGAGTCACCTTTGAAAGTTAAAGAATCTCTTATGCAATATTGAAGGGCTCATTGTGATCAAGAAAGCAGAAACTGGGACCAAATTGCACGATATAAATATAATTCCAACAGTTTTGGGATATCCTAATTCGACTAAAATTTTGGTTCTATGACATCTCTTGGCACGAGTTTAGACCATAATTGAGGTCTATAAATACTAATATTTCATTTGAACAATGAAGGAGGCTTGAAAGGACGCATTCTTGAGGCGAACTATATAGATTCGTTCAAAAGCTCTCAATATTTTGTGATCCTAAATTGGGATTTGAACGATTTACAATTATCCAAGAAGAGTTTAAATATCCGTTCATTTGGATTTTGGTGTCGAAAAATGACAATTGCTTGGGTAATTTTCTTCTTTATTGTACTACATCTGGTGATACTTTTCATCTTTTGCCTATGTTTAATGGATGTTAAAATCAAAATATAATATATTTTGATAAATGTTGATGAAATGTGTGATTAGAAAGTTGTATGTCCAATAAAATATGTGGCTAAAATTAATTGTTATTTTTACTCGAATTAAAATCTAGATTTTACTGAACAAGGGCAAGGTAATTGATTGTCTAGTTTTGCAATCATGAGCAGCTAAGTAATTGATTATTAGAATGAATAATGTAACTTAGGTTTAACGTTTACTTAATTCAAAATATCTATCGCGACGATGATTGTGTTAATTATTTTTTACACGTTTAATTGGTATTCAATTTGCTTGTATGCCACTTGCTTATTTTACATACAATATTGAGATCGTTTTGTTTAGCTCCTAAAATAAGTGACATATATTCTGATAAAAGATCGAGAAAATATCCTTATAGTCTATGAATCTCGACTAAATTCATGTGAATTAATGTATTCAAGTGTGTGAATTTATTAGATACATAATAAATTTGAGCAAATGAATAGGACTAATTTTACTTGAGATACACTATTGAATATTATTAGTTTGACTGTAATACATATGAAAATGGGCTGAAAGATGTTGAAATGAATGAATATTATTTGACTTAGGTGAATTTGGAATTTCAAACTACTTAATTCCATACAACTTAGTAGATTTAGTTATAACATAAACTCTTGATCAGTTAATCGAATGCCATATTATTTAGATTAAAGCTAGACTTATGATAAAAATGTATAATAGATGATTAATCTATACAAGACAATATTCGAACTTAAACATCTATTTTATTACTTGTCAAGATTCGTATACTTGCCGAATCACATTGTCACTCATTATTTGTTGCCAAGTTCAATGGAGGTTTCAATTTGACGAATTAATCAATTTGAAGGGTAAAGTGCCCATAAGCTCCAAGGTGGCACGAACAATAATTGTGGATAGAAACTCATATTTTAATTATAGTTGCAATTTTTATATGGTCATTAGTCATTTTCAATTTTTCTCTTGCTAGCAAGTAAAGTGCCCTTAAGCTCCAAGGTGTTGATCTTGAATTTAAGACTCGTAAAGCAATATTGGGTTATCACTACATCCAATTGTCAACTTATTGGATCGGCCTCTTGTCTTCGTATATCCTCAAGTTTGTCGCTACTCCCATTAGGGGTGTAAGCGATCCGATTTTACCGATTTTTGACAAATTTTCAAACCAAACCGTTTAAAACGGTTTGAGAAAAACCCAAACTTAAATCAAACCATTTTGAACGGTTTGAAAAAAACTCAAACCTAAACCTAACAGTTTGGTCCGATTTTAAACCGCGGGTTTCGCCATATAATTTTTTGCCCGTCTACTTTTATATCATTAATTAATTGAATTTAATATATATTTATATCTCACTAGTAATAAACCTAAAACAAACTAAGCCCTTATTTGAACCAAATTTTTGGGACAAAAAAATGAAATTTTGGACCGTTATTCCACAAGTCCAGCCGCCTTTGTTGACCTGCTATTTCATGTGTGGGACCCAGCCTCCTCTCCAATAGTCAATTTTCTCATTATAATGATATGAAAAATATGGTTCAAATAGGGGCTAAATATATCTATTATAAATTTAAATATCAACTAAATCAAAGTGAAATCACAATAAATTAAAACATAGTTTTTTTTTTCATTTTTGTTCACCTTTTTTAGGCTAATGACGATACAATAACGTTACAATACAAGTTTACTAAACTAGATATAAGGTCCAAAAAAATATAATAATGTCCAACAAGACCTCGTGATCATCATATCTGAAAAAATGATACTGATTAAACAAAGAAAATAACAAATCACAATATTAAAGTAATTGTTTATAATATCTAAGCATAAAAATTATACAAGTTTACGTTTATATGATGTTACGAAACACATTTAATTTCAGATTCTTACCTTAGTTTGCTCCAAAAAATTATTGATCTGAAACTTTATTTGTAGCAAATATTATCACCGAAGTCTAGGATCTCTTTGTCTCCGATTTGGTATAATGGACTTCAATTCAACTTTGAAGAGCGTGAAAATTTTGAAAAAGAAGTGTGTGGTGCCGGTGGCTCAAAACTGTGTTGGGTGTCTACTGGAGTTCATCTAAATTTTGAAAAGGAAAAATGTTTTTGTTAGATTATGTTAGTCTTGAAATTATTAAATACATATTAGGATTATTGGATAATAATAATAATAATATATCTGTATTATAAAATTAGGAATTGACAAAAATACTCACAAATAACAAAACTATTGAATTTTACATATTTGGATGAATTTTCAAAAAAATTCATTTTTTCATTTTTTTATTTTTATATATTTTTTCGCCGGTCCAGTTTGATTTTAAACCGCAATTAAAATTCTCAAACCTAAACCAAACCATTTTGACTGGTTTGGTCAAAATGGTTTGGTTTGGATCAAAACCATTTCATTGACCGGATCCAAGTGGCATCAAACCGATGGTTTCTAAAATGCGATTTCGGTTTGATTTTCCGTTTTTGCGATTTTTGCTTGCAGCCCTAACTCCTATGACAATGTTATTAACTCGACCCAAGACTTTACCACAAACTAAAATCACGTGACTAATCAAAAAACAAAAAATAAGACTAAAATCACATATTGCACACACATGTTCTTTAGAAAAAATTGCATCCATGGTACCAAATCTTTCACTTTTGTGCAGATTTGACCCAACACTTAAATTTGTTGCATCCAAGGTACCAAACCTTTCAAAATACCTCATTTTTGTTCAATGAAGAAGCAGACCAAGATTAGATTGAAAGAATCTCGTTCAATTGTCCTGTTTCGATTGACTTCTTTGTGCCTGTTCGTGCTGAATAAGATAACATGAAGTTCAAATGGATGAAAATGATTAGTTTGATCGTCAATTGACCAGATAATTGACCTTGACAATAATTTTGACTACTTTTAAAAGATTTAGCCCTTGTTTGATAGTCATTTTTCTCTCTCTTATTTTCAATCACACATTTTTCAAAAAATAATATTACACGCAAAACTAAAACATTTTCTTAATTCTTAACCATACATTCTTCACTAATTAATTATTTCAAAATGTATTCTTTCTTAAAAATGGGAAACAAACAGGAGCTAAAATGGTAACTTTACGTTTTTTTGTAATAAACGACTAAAATCAAAAACAAAAAACTTATTCTCCATCCACCCTACACATACACACAACCACACCCACCCCAATACCACCATCACCATGACCAGACGACTCCACCGCATCTACCCAATGTCGATGCAACCTCCGATGCCTCCACCTTCACCACACTACAACATCGCCACATCAAATCCATAACCACATCCCCACCCCAAAACTACTAATACCACTACTAGTCGGCACCACTCCTCCTGCGTACTATGGATGATTTGTTTTTGGATGAGTATTTTGATTTACTCTCTTTCATTTTTTTACTTTATGTGCTTGACATT